GTGCATGGGGATGTTTTCCGTCCCCCTAGGAAAGGGATGTTGCTGTCTGTTTTCCTTGGACAGGGAACGCAGATCTTCATCATGACTTTCATTACTCTCTGTAAGGACTATTTCACATTTCACCCTAAATATCCTTAACAAAGACCCCATCAACATATATTTACCTTTAAGCATCCAGCAATAATAATCATAACAAAGACTCTGTCAAGCCAAAGTTGGATTGTAGAGTCTAAAGTAATGGGGCAGCTGATAGAAGTGAAGTTTTCTGATACTTTTGCATTTCAATTACAATTGTGATTCTATGTATGGATGACTGCACTGATGAATGTTTGTTTACTGTAGTCCTCGCCTGTCTGGGTTTCCTGTCACCGGCCAACAGAGGGGCTCTCATGACTTGTGCAGTGGTACTCTGGGTTCTCCTGGGTACACCTGCTGGTTATGTGTCAGCACGTCTTTACAAAAGTAAGAGTCCAGTGATGACTTTCAATCGTTAGAGTCCATATATACAGGATAACAAAACTTTGTGATTCTTACCATGAAATTCTCATTCTTTTTTTCTTTTCTTTTCAGCTTTCGGAGGTGAAAAGTGGAAGACAAACGTATTGCTAACTGCACTCTTGTGCCCAGGGTATGTTTACTCTTATTTGTTTATCTGCTACTCATTAGTCTCAGTCGCACTTCAGCTCTGTCCTTGAGTGTTGCGGTTAATCTCCTTTTATTTACCTTGTGAACTGCTATTATTCCTCTCATGTGTATCTTTGTCCACTTCCCCTCCCTAGAATTGTATTTGCAGACTTCTTCTTGATGAATCTGATCCTATGGGGGGAGGGCTCCTCAGCTGCAATCCCCTTTGGTACTCTGGTTGCCATTTTGGCCCTGTGGTTTGGAATCTCTGTACCCCTCACCTTTGTTGGTGCCTACTTTGGATTCAAGAAACCAGTGAGTTAACCTGCTTAATTATTCTTATGCAATCAGTTAAAACTGATTGGTAACTAAATGTGTCAATTTGCTTCTGTGCAGGCAATTGAGCAACCAGTGCGAACAAACCAAATCCCCCGTCAAATACCTGAGCAGTCCTTCTTCACCAAACCCATCCCTGGCATAGTGATGGGTGGCATCCTCCCCTTTGGCTGCATCTTCATTCAGCTTTTCTTCATTCTCAACAGCATTTGGTACAAAAACAGGAATTCTCTCTGCGGATTTTGCTTTTGTGCCACAATTTTCCATATATCCAATAATATGTTGTGTTTGTTTCAGGTCTCATCAGATGTACTACATGTTTGGATTCCTGTTCCTGGTTTTCATCATTCTGCTCATCACCTGCTCTGAGGCAACAATTCTGCTCTGCTACTTCCACCTTTGTGCTGAGGTACCTGAATTTTGTGTGTCCCCCAGGTTCTGAATTTAGTTGACGTGTCATTATTACATTATTACTGAATTCTAACAAGTCATTCTTTGTCCTATGTGTTAAGGACTACCACTGGTGGTGGCGATCCTTCCTGACCAGCGGCTTTACAGCAGTCTATCTGTTTATCTATGCTGTACACTACTTCTTCTCAAAGCTGCAAATAATTGGAATGGCCAGTACTATACTCTACTTTGGATACACGATGATTATGGTCCTGATCTTCTTCCTCTTCACAGGTGAGGTCTTTACTTTTTGAAAATGAGCTCTTTTAGGAGCTACTGTTAGTATCTTGTTACCTTGGCATATAGATGATTTTAAAATAAAGGGCTCGCATAATGCTCCAAATACTATGGCCACTGAAGGGGAAAACAGTTGTGTTTACAATGCTTAACTGAGACTTGAAAAACGAACACAATGTCTTTACTTGGTTCATTAGATTCCTCTATGTCAGTGGCTTAATTACTTTAAGCACTTGCACCCTGTTAAAATGCTTTAGCTTAACTTGCAGAAATAGAGCCTTTTGTCATATCCAAATTGTAAGGAAAAACTACTACTGGCTGTAAAAGGCTGATAGGATATTGTTGTCATCTTCCCGGGCGGACAGTGTGGACACATGAATTTGTGAAGAGGATAACTCGGCTAGACGACATGGGATTTTATAATTCTATGGGTGCATCGACAATAAATCTTGGACTAATTTAAGTCTCAGTAACCTCAATACAAAGTCTTATCACACTGCAGCTCTCAGTCAGGGCTTAATTACAGAGAGAGTTTAGATACTGCTGCACATATGTTAATTGCACTGAACATCCTTTTTCTTAAAAAAAAAAAAAAAAGCTTATCTGATCTTTATTTCTGACGAATGAAAAAGCTCTGAGAGCTAATCGCACGTCTTTGGTGGAAAGAGGTGTGTCGTTTATGCATGCGAAGTTCAATGTTTGTTCTCTGGGTCAGAGATTACAATTTGCATCAGGTCACCTGTAAAAGGAGGATTCAACATCCTGTTCATATAATATTTATTCCAGGCAGCTGTACTACTACTGTGCAACCTTTGTTTACTTGTCATATATTGAGTGTCGGCTTCTTTGCTTTTATTGTTACTGGCTGTAGAGAAGCACAGTGTTAAATCCTGTTAAATAACAGTTATTTGCAATGGTCCAATCAGAATAATTTTATTTTTAGTCTCTCTGAAGTGTAATGAAAATCAGAGACTGGGAGGAGTCCCTCTTGGTCAGATCTAGTTTTGCAGATTTATTTGGGTCAGTTTTTGTCTCTATGGTTTTCCAGTTTGACAAGATGGAGCCCACTTTTCTCAGGGGGTTTCTTTTATTTTTGTTCTTTTGTTATGCAGATCAAGACCACATTCATGCATTGTCATGGATTGTGATACATTTGTCCACACTCACTGACCTTCTTTGTTAATATAGTTTTCTCTACTCTGGGCTTGTCTAGTTCTATTTAGGGTTTACACAATTTATGTACCGAACCCATGATCACACTGCTAAGATAAATAGAACATTTTTAAGACTTCACATAAAGATTGACGTATGTTGATATAGTAGTAACTCTTTGATGTCATCAAATTTTCTTGCGCTTTAACTGAAATCAGAGTAAGAGTGTGTGTAGAAAGAGGAACATATTAAATACTAGATAACCAGGAAATACACGCCTAGTCTGTTGGCTGTCTAAAGATATCCGGCTCGCCATGTGTCGAATGATGACATCGTTTTCTGGTGTTATACTGTCAGTCGGTCAGATAAAAGTAAGACTGCAGCTTTGCTTGTCACTGCAACACTGTTTGACAATGTTTTAAGGCAGAGCTGTAAGTCCCAAGGGGATAAGATGTCAAGATTATCACCAAGAAGTAATCCAAGGATTCAAGGGGAAAAACAGTTTCCCTCCTTGCTTCCAGTTTTGATCCAAATAATGCTAATCCCTACTATATCCCTTTTAAAAACTTTTTATCTTCTTGTCTGGCTTTCACCTCATCCCAACTTTGATCTCTGCTTAATTCGGGATTGGACTGCGTGGCCCTCATTGAGTAGTCAGATAGGACTTTTATACCCAGTTGATGTGGGATTTTTACCAGTCTGCCTTATCAGCATTTCAGAGCTCATGCAAATATGCTCTTTCGTTGACAAAATTAAGCACTGATGCTGGTTTTGCATTGGAAATTGCAGACCCAATACTGAAAATCTCGTATTTTCTACCTTTTAGTGGATGAAATTTGTTGGGCAGTGACACCAACTGGCTGTCTTGTATGCATTTTTGCATTTGCTAAAATCTTCTAAAAATATTGTTGTCTTTCACTGACTTTGTATTTTATTCATGATGAATGATGCAAGAATTGTAGTTATAGAGGCGGGTAACTATTTATTATTTATTATATTTAAGTTACTATTCCAATTGCACCATTGTCTACAGATGGTCTCTGTATAACACTTTGTTCATTCTAACCTGTCTTTTATTCTCAGGTACAATTGGCTTCTTCGCCTGCTTCTGGTTTGTAAATAAGATCTACAGCGTGGTCAAAGTGGACTGACTGAAGAACTCTGTGAAAGGACTAACTCCTAGATGCGACAGCACTGGCCTCCCCAATGCTGGTTTTGTGACAAAGGCCTGAGGTCTGATTCGACCTGAACTGAAAAACCATCACTTATCATAGAAAACCCCCCTGATGAGCAGAGCCCGTCCTCTTTTTGTGCTTTAAACCTCTGTTGCTATTTTCTTTTTAAAAATATATATAATTTCGCATTTACTGTTGACTTGTAATAATTTGAATGGCGCCTTGAAAATCAGCCTGGGTTCCAATGATCTAGCTGTCATAGTGAGCAATGTGTGTGTGGGAATGTTTTTACTTTAATTTTCTAAGGAAGGTAAAATGTTATGTATTTATCTGTTCTATTCCCTTACGGCTAAAATTCTTTCTTTTTTTTCTTTACCTGTACTTTAATGATTAAAAAAATGTGTGTACATATACTGTATAGAGAGTGAGGGAGAGAATGCAAGTTAAAGATTGTCACCATTATGGAACCTTCTTTGGGAGTTATATTTTTCTTTTCTTTCTTTTCTCTGGTTTGTTTTAAAAGTAAAAATATCAGCCTGTATTGTAGTTTAGAAATTATATAAAACACTCACAGTGCTATGATACATGTTCATCTTCTTGGAGTTTGAGTTTGTATAAATCAGAGGGTACTCTTGGTTACGACGCACATCTGTATCATAGAGCTATGTGCTGCAGTGTGTTGCATATTAGGCTCCCGATTTGTTTCTCAACAGTAGACATGGTCACCTAGTTAATCATAAAGTAGTCCATGACTTTACTGGTCAGGTGCATTATGCACTTTCGAGATGTACCTCTTTAGATTTTAATAGGTGGTTTGCTGAACTGTTAACTACATAAAAACACTGCTGCTTTTTGCTTCAAGCAGTGTGGCACCATCACCCAAGGTGATAACATTTTACAAATAAACGCAGTGAATTCCAAACCAAGGTCACGCTTTTGTCTTTTAGCCTTTAGAACACCTAAAACAATTCCTACCACAAACAGTGTTTCTTACTATTTGTGTATTGATATAAGTCTAGTAATATTTATCGTTCAGCTGATTCGTTTTCTTGGCTGGAGCAAAATCAAAAGGCAAAATAATGTGCTTGGGGGAAACGCTGTAAAAGAGATAATTATTGATGCAGTGCAATGTGCTACTCTTAGCCCTGCCCTAGCTCCTCAGTCACAGATAGTGATTGAATATTTTATAAAAAAAAATCAAATCATAAATTTCTTATTTTAAAACAAAATATTGTGCAAAACATATAACCTCAAATTGTGAAACATGTACTTAAGTAAGGGTTTAAAAATTGAACACTTCTTAAGTCCAACAAGGTTTGTAGATTTAGTCTTAAATTCTGTTATTAACCCACTCAAAAGTCAGCAGATTATAAAGAGATCCAGGAAGGAATGCAAATAGCTCAATATGCTTTTTAAGATCCTTCTCAAACCTAAAGCCAGCCTGATACTCAAGCATTTTTTGGTATGTTGTATGTAAAGTCATGCTTTTGTACGCATTACATATAATGTACTTTTATTAAACAACAGACAATGTTTGATGTTAAATAATGAAAACGAAAATATTACAAAAGCACAATAGAAATCACAAAAATATGCACTTTTCAAAGGCTATTAAACATTTTATCTTATATTTTAGTATACTTAAACACACACTGTCCTTTACAGAGCCTCTAACAAACTCGTTACCCAAGTTTGATTGTCAACTTTTAATACTGTAGTTTGAATTTCCTCAGTAACCTGTTAAATAGTTCAAGGTGAAGTACATTACAGATCTCAGAAACTACGACAGTCTAGTGATAAGAGTACACCAGGAGCACATTGTGCCAAATCTTTTTTTTCTTTTCATTTTCTGAGAAGGTACCTAGAAACTTGGCACTAGACACTTAAATAAATGCACATAATATGGTGATGGATCATAGCAAACTTCTAACTTAATGATTTACCTTTCTCTGAGAGGAGTCGTGGCAAGCATCCGTGGCTTTAGGCACACAGTTTCTTTTCCTTTAGAAATACTTTATCATGAGGTATCATCACAAGTCTACAAGTGCTCAATGGAATATAAGAAATCTGTTAAAGATCTTGCAACATGCATGTTTTTATCACACAAAAATACTCGCCCCTTTCCCCACGCCAACATTTGAAAGGCATCAAACACCAAGTCCAAATATTAAGTGGTATGAAATAAAAGGAAAATTTCCACATCAGTTACGCTGTAGATAAAAGAAACAAAGGACTAAGACAAACGTGAATGTGTGGCCATCCCATGAGAGAAAGGGAATCACCAACACTTGTAAGCTCTCACTGACAGGCACAATAAATCACTTTTCTAATTGTTTTTTCAAAAGGCGCTTTGCGACTAAGAGCAGTTACTGTGATAGGGACTTTAACACATATTCTCCCACCCGAGGTTCAAGGTGGGATCTATTCCTTTTTTTTTCCCTACAAGCAATACCCTGAGTTGGAAAATTACAAGCAAAATTTGCTTGCAGACAAGGTCCGCTATCCTGCACCTCCAGCAGGACACAAAAAGTTTAAAGGAGACAATTGTGTGGACACATTTACACGCCATCAGAGACATCTGATAATTAGAGTGGTCCGAACATAAGAGCAACTTCCTATTTTACACGTGCAGATTGAGAATCATTTGAATTTAGACTGATTTAAATGCCCATTTTAAATAACAGTAGTGAGTTCACTCTCGCAAGCATTATTATGTTTGCAAGAATGATGGATTGCACAAACTTTAACAGCTGCACACAGTCTTTATGTGGCACATGTGGTAACGCTTAAAAATGCATTTACATATGAAACACAATAACTCTTTCCTACGATTTGTTCTTTTACACGTTAACACAACAACTACTGTGCCTAGGTTTTTCCCAGTAGCAATAACTTAACAGAGATTTTAACAAAGTGGTAAAATATCATATGTTGGTGATAAATGATGATACTTCTGTTTGTAATTCCAGCGACCTGCTGAGAACTATGAACATGCTGCATGACAGCGTCCTAAAGTAAGAGCAACTATGGTCTGTCTGATGCATGGCAGTTTATGTGCTTTGTTTGCTGTTGACTGTAAGTTCCTTCTCAGAGCTGATACTGGTAGAGGTGGTCTCCTTACGACTGTCTCTCGACTTCCTCTCAAAAGTGGGAGAGGACGATGTTGTGCACTCTTCCCATGTCCGCAGAGGGACGATTCGAGCAGCCAAGCTGGGCAGGTGAGGGTGAGCGGTGGAGCGTCCCTCAGTCGTAGTGAAGCAGCTTTCCACAGCAGAGCTCTGGTTGGGACGGCCCTGCTTGCAGAACAACCCACAGAGTAAAGCCAGAAATTCTTTTCTTACGCTACGGTGCATGTAGCCATAAATATAAGGATGTAGGCAGCACTGTAAAAAGAAGAGTACAAGGGCAAGGGAGGATAACCATGAGGGTATAGCTGCTCTGGTGAACATAGATATAGTATTCAGAATGGTGTAAGGACCCATGCTGAAGATGTATGAAGCCATGATCACGAAAACCACACGGGCTGCCTTGCAGTGGTAGTGAAAGCGCCTGTGTCTAACTCGAACTGGGTATCTTCTGGCTGAGTAAGGTCCCTCCGGTGAACTGGGCTGCTGGGGCTGGCATCGCTGCTGTGGGCTGCTAGGTGCCTGGAAGTCCTGCGGGCAGGGCTGAGAGTAGGACTGTGTCTGTATGGGGTGTACAAGAGCGTTCTGCCTCCGGGCTGCCCTGAAAACCATCCAGTAACATCCGAGCATGATGAGCACAGGAAGCCAGAAAGAAAAGGTAGACACCACAGCAGAGTAGGACAGACTAGAAGACCACACCACTGAGCAGATATTGTGATGTTGGTCAAAGTCTATGGTCCCCCAGCCATAGAGAGGAGGTGTGCTCTGCAGGAAACTGAGCACCCAGGTGCAGATGATCAGGTTGGTGCCCAAGTGAGGGGTCATGCGAGTGGGATAAGAAAGAGGGTGAATAATTGCCAGGTAGCGATCCACAGACACAACTATAATGGTGTTAACCCCTGCAAATGCAAACAAGTGCATGAGCACCACCAGGGCCTGGCACAGCCGAGCATCCAGAGGCCACACACTTGGCATGGTAGCTGCAATAGCAAAGGGCATGACTAATATAGTCTGAAGTAGGTCTGCCAGGAGGAGGTTGAGGACAAAGCGGTTGGCCACATGAAGGAGCTGAGGCTTCCTTTGGAACACCAGCAGAACAATCACATTCCCAAACAAAGACACGCAGACAATCAGAGATATGAGCACCATCTTCACCACACTGTTAACAATGGAGGACCAGACCGGGTCCTGATTGGAGCTGGTGAAACCAAGCTGCCCAGGAACATCAGTGACATTTGTGCCCACATCAGGCTGCTGAGAACTTGACATTGTTCATGTGACGCCCAGCAGAGTGTTAACATAAAGTCAGGTTAGTCCCATCCTAAACAGGAGAGAAAAGCAGCTGTGGGGTGCTTTGATCTTTAGGGAGTGAGAACAATAAGCTGCTGTAGCAGGTAGTCTTAGTCAGTGATTTTCAGGTGCACACTGTCCTGAAATACATTTCATCTAACGTGACATATCATCCATAACATGTGAAAATAGTCCAGAAGACTCATCCACGAGTAGCTGGAAATGGTCAGCACTGATTTGCTTTTCATCATGATCAGTGATTAATCCCTCAACATTTCACCCATCGAACAGGCCATATTCCTCTTGCAGCGCACATCTGCAGAATGAAAAACAGAAGGGAAAAAAAGAGATAAATGCCACCGTTCAAACCCTTTGCATCGACGGCGAATTGTCCGGGTAGTGGCAAATATCGCGTTCTGCTAATCTGGAATTGATGTCTAATAACGTGAAATGATCAGTGATGCGATATTTTTGCTCGAGGATGCTCACTCCCCTGCGATCGGTCTTCATCGCTTTGCTCCCATTTCAGCCTGAGCTCCAGTCAATGGCAGCGAGCTTTCACGGCTCAGCTAACATACGCTGCGTGTCTTCACCCAGCGGGGGTCTCTCATCCAGACGAGCATATCTTTCCGTTGCTGCTCTTTTCGGATTTCATGGCAGATCAAACATTTATTATGTTATCAGCTTTGATTCTTCCTCAACAGTCTTAGGCTACTTACGGTCGAGTCCTGTCTCCGAGGTGTCAGAAAATACAAGGACACCTGCACAGAAATCTCCCCCCCCCCGCTGGAGCCTGTCACCGACCCCCTCCCATCCGTTTTCCCTCTTTTGTTATGAGGGTGCAAATGCGTTTCAGCATTCCCGTGCAACAGTTTTTAATACATGGTAGAATCGCAAATATTATCCTAGTTAAAAAAAAACCAAAACAAGTCTTCAGGATGTAAATGCACCCCCTCCGAAATGAAAAAAAAAAAAAATCAAATAAAAATAAAAAACAAGAAGAACTCGTTTATTTGTTGCTTTGTTCTGTTGCAAAAACTGGTTAATGAAAAATATGAATGGTGTAGTTACACGTTATCAAGGTCTCAGTCAGTCCTTCAGATCTCCTAGGTAACAAGTGATTCAATCAGATGGCTGCTTGTGTGAGCTTCACATGATAGGATAGCCTGTCCGAGGAGATAACAGAATAGGACCTCCGCTGCGGGCATTCCTCCAGAGCATTTGGAATTATACTTTACAAGGGTGTCCATATTTTAACACTCTAGCTATGGCCTGTGGTGAAATACACACTAGGTAGGCTACACACTGTAATTCAGATTCATATTTTGTACCGTCTTTTGGTAATTACAGTGCTGATATGGTAAGCACTACTTGTTATGCTTTTTGATTATATTACATTCTGCCCCATGACAGCTGTAATAGTCTCCAGCTTCCTGCAACCCTGAATTGGACAAGTGGAAGAAAATGGATGTCTGGCTGGCTGGATACATTGCAGTAAACTGAAGCATTGGCTGGCCCAGTCTGCATGGATAAGCAGACGTGAGACACATTAGTTTTAATTCAGAGCTCCTGTATTTCCTTTGTCTCATTTTAAATGCAGATCACTTGGAGGTTATTGTGGTACTTTCATTCATATAATTCCATCTTCATCTTTAGATAGCTTGACTTATATGCAGATTTCTCCCTGTACCACCTCAGATCAGCTCTCCCACCCATCTTACTTTATGGTTCATACAGTGTGAACTTTAAGACAGTTAAAAACAAAACAAAAACACACGTTTACTGGTTTATCTCATCTGCTGAAGCAGTTCAAAAAAAGAAGAAAAAAAGTCTAGAAATTAGTAAAATAGTCTGGTCTTCTAATGCCAAATTTCTATTCCAGATCTATTTTCTATTAATATTTATATAATAAAAAATGAAGCAATAAACATTTTAAAGATTACTTGGTATAATGTATTTGAAAGATAAAATATTAATAGAACTATGTTTATAACTCATTCATGTTTTGCTAATCAATCTCTGACCAGATGAAGCCGAACATGACTAAACATTTAAGTAAAACTCAGCTCCACTGAAAAGACATGGGTTACTTAGCCTTAATGGAACTTCTGATGGTTCTTTTAACACAACAAAGCTTTCACATATGGTGTTAATAATTATGTGGGATAACCCAGTTCTGATCAAATTATCCACAACCTATGAGATGAAGTCTCTTTATATGACTGTTTGAATAATATGCACGTTTGTTAAAGCCGCCATTTTTATCTTTGGAAACACAAAAATTGCTTCTACATTTCAGCCTTTGTAAAGGGGTAAAAAAAGACTTCATTAAGATGCACAGAAAACAAAAGCACTACTCCATTGTGCAATCCAATTAGTCTGTAGCTTACATGGCCCACTAATCAACACTCGTAATTAGCCATTTTATTTCAAGTCTTTGCTCTATCCTAGCTATCAAAAAGCCCTTTGATGTGACTCTCGAGCACCCTGTGTTTTAGATTTAGATTGCAAATGAAATGCTGGTGACCGCAAAGGGGTGGGGAGATGTTTCGGTGTTCTTGTGTTGAATGGACTATGGTTCAAAGGGAGACCCACAGGCCCTCTGCCTCGTGGGATTATTAGATGTGCAATACAGCCTGAATGCTCACACTGGCCTCAAGTAGTGATGTCTGCGTCTCTGTCATTCTGCTTCCCTCTCATTCACTGTCACTCACTAACACCTACAGTAAAACCCAACAAAACTGGAAAGAAAAAAGAAAGAAAGCAAGACACAGAATAGGCAATATGAAGCAGCCCTAAAACCGCACTAAAACTTTGTTGGCATGGCAGAATATGTACATTTAATTTAAATTACAAATTTATAAGCAGCATTGTATAAAGGATTGCAGAATCAAGTAATACATCACCTAATACACTAATACATGCATCAATTAACTGATAAATCAAGACACTAATTGCAGGCCTAACACAGTGGATTATTAAAAACAATCCAATATGCAAAATGCACCTTGCAAATTTTTTAATTAGCCTAATTTTATGCTTGCCCAGTAGGAGGCAGAAAAGAACAATACAAGCTGAAGACAGCCCTTAAAAAGGTGTTTTGTATTAAATGTGCAGTTTTTTTTATTGCATTGGTAAGAGTGTGCTGCAAGCTAGCTAAAGCTTTTTTATCGTATTCAGCTACCTGCCCTGAATTGTTATCAGTACAGCTATCCAAGGAACCACTTGTTATCAACAAGTATCAGCAAGTATCACGATACAGTGCAAGCAAGCATTGTCCAGTTTCCCAAAATTTGTTGCTGGAGAATCATGTTTTCCTCTGTAGCCTGGCAGATACTCTTTCTTTCGTTCTCCTTTTCTTAACTGTTCACTCACTGCATGCCTGGAAGCTGCTCAGCTTCAAATGACAGACAAAACAGTGAAACAGTCAGGTATTTTTTTCTCTCAGAAATTGCCTAAAGAAAGAGTTAAAATTCCAAAAACTGTCCAGAAACACAGGAAGTGCAGAATAATGCTTTATATATGAAAGTGTGGGTAATTGTTCAGGCAGTCTGAATATTTTCATTTTATTGTTTTGGTAGCATAAGACCTACAAAACAGGGAATATTTGCACAGCCTTAGCATATTTTCTTATGAAGCTTTTATAGCTTTTTATAACTCATGTGCTTACAGACTATATGCAAATATGTATAGGCTATATATACAAGAATACACTGAATTTGCTTTTCCCTGTAGATTATTTATTGAACGTTGTGATGCAATGAAAATGTGTCTGTTGTTGTATTTTAACCCAGCAGGGAATAAATGCTCTCTTCAGAGCTCAGTATGACAGTGCTACATTTTCATTTTTAATATCATAGTTTAGATTTTCTTTGATTAATTCTTACTTCATTTTCAACATATTTAATTTTAGTTTATAAAAAAAACCCTAACTAGTAGCACGATTGTAGAATACTCAGATAAATTATAAGTAGCTCAAAGTGGTAATGCAGGACCAAGTAAAAGGACACTCCATGTCCACAAAAAGGAACGATATTTAAAAAAACACAAGGTTTTACATATTTCTTTTCTGCTGGCAGCCATTTGCTTTTACTTCTGGTTAGAAAAGTTTAAAAGTCTAACTCATATCTTATTCTAGTAAAACTGAAAGCTTTGCTTGCCTTTCCCCTCAGACCCCACACACCTGTGTCAAGCAGACAAGATGAGCTTATGGTGCAGCAGAGGTAAGTCGAAGGAGTCTTGCGAGAGTCTTGCACTCTGGAATTTTCTTGTCTGCATTTATTATTAATCCGTGCACATAAAAAATGTATACAGTGTAAACTCAGTTTTGATATTTGATATTAAAGACGTTACAAAGAAAACTGGTGTCAGAACGCCTTTCTTGCTTTTTCAGATTCAAATAATTTCATTTTAGCGTCTTAATCATAGTAATCTTGACTTAATTCTATCTAGTTTGTGAGAGCAACAACTAACAATTCATACTTGTAACTTATAAAGTCACAATTGATCAGTAAATTCTCACCTCAGAGGAAACCCTGAGGAAAATTATGGCTAAACATCATTACACCTAATAACTGCACTAAATAAGGATCCACAAAAAGATGTTATCTCATTAGAAAGGCTCAGAAATAATTGTAGCCTCTTATTAACAGCCTAAAGGATGAATACAGGTGTGGCTGAATGTAGGAGCTTAATTAAAATACTCTTTAGGAATGGAAGCTGTATTTGACTTGTTTAATTGTCTGAAACTAAGAAACTTATATAAACTTATATAATGTAACGTGTCTTGTGAGTATGTATGGAGAATGTGGTTATGGTGTTTGTCCAGCACATAAACTAAACCACATGAAGACAAATGCATATAGGATAAAAAGGACGGTTGCAGTGAGGAAACTGAAAAGAAAAATGTCTGTAAACAAATAGATGACAAACATATTGAGATTGACCATCACAGCGCTGCTCTCTAAAGGGACCTTTTCATTTTATTGCACAATATCAGTTGTCTCTGAAGCCCAAACAGTTTAGAAGTAATTACTAGTGTTTTCCCCAGAAGGTGATTACTTTGCCACACTTGGCAGCCATTGTCACCAGCCACGCACCACACTCATCAACCCTACAAAGGGGAGAAGTGCTCGATTGATGATGAGCCCTCTGTGGCTAGGGGAGAATTTAAAAGTACTTGTATGAGGCTCTTTCAAGAGATTAACTTGCAATAAGGGCTACCTGCCATGGACACATTCCCTGTATTCATGGTGCCTGCACAAAGACTTTTTAAGAGGGGCACAGCTGCATGAAAGCAATTGGTGAATGGGGATAATAGTCACAAAAGACAACAAACCTCAAGTGTAAAGAAATAAAGTGTTTTTTAAGATTGGAGGCTTCTATTCAATGCGCCACCATTCCTTCTTTTGACCACTGAGGATCCGGCCACTCCATTACCCAAAGCCTCAATCTAATTATTTTAGGACAAGACATGTTATGGTGGAAAGTGGCAAAGAGAGAGCACTCCGGACCAAAGTGCACTTTAATTCAATCACTCTATTTGACAGATTCCTCCTTCAAATGGACGTCACACACCAGTTGACTGGCACAATTGGGAGGCTCCTGGCAATGTCCTGGGCCCTTTTTGGCTCTGGCCAATAACATAGAAATCGAACGCAGTTGTGGACTAGTAAATGTAAAAGTAGATAGGTGTATATATCCTATTTACAAAAAGCAAACAAAACAACAACAACAAAAAACCCAAACCAAACAACTGTTCAGTGGTATGTAATTATTTATTTCTGTAAATTGTAGA